TGGGTAATAACTCCCAAAACATCAAGGAGGAACAAGCCCTCAGAGGACTTCAGTGTTCAGAAAGTCAGAGAGAAATTTTCAACTTGAGCAATAGTAGTTTTCGTATTTCTAGGTACATGTATTCTCAACGGATTGCATCTCCTTCTCGTGACAAAGACTAATTTTAGTCACAAAGTTAGCACGTTTAGCTCTTAAAAGTCCAAGATACAGGTAATGTTTAAAACTAATTAGATACTACACCTCCCTACCCCCTGCAAAACTGGAAGCTGCTTCTAGGAAGTCTCGACGTCTTTCCTCCAGACACAGGGAGGCTGGGCAGGCAGCAGTGCAGCTTGCTCCTACTTCGCAACAGCAGCTATGGTGCCTTCCACCCTCGCCTGCTCTCCCGCCACTGCCTGCTCCGCACTGCGCTCACTACAAAGCTCTTCTTTTGACCTTTAATTCACTTGGCCCCTCCTATTTAATAGATCTGCTCTCTCGACATGAACCTATCCGTTCTTTCAACTGAGCAGATGTTGGTGCTCTCACCATTCCCGTAAACGCTGTTTCAAGTCACAGGCAGCGGTTTTCACAGCTTCTCTGTGATGCACAGAAAGCACGCAACTGTACACTTGAAGTACTTGTAAAACCTGGGCCTTTTCAATTTAGTCTTAAACATTATCTTAATCAGCATGCAAAAAAGTATTGATTTAGCCTTCTATTCCCCAGTGTCAGTGCGAATTCTATCTTCACTGATTGTGAAGTTACCTCTGGGGCGAGGGCATTAATGTTGCTACTGAAACGTAAGACTCCCCTGTATCACACAGCACCATGCCTGGGATCTAAACAAGGCTCTTGTTAACCCAGATATCTCATTACTAAACAAATTTACAATATGTCTTTACAAATTTAAGTATGTTATTTGCTATTTTCAGGGTATATTATCACAAGTGTATGAAGAATTGACAGTATGAGGAGCAGCAAAATAATAAACTTGAAAAAATAATTTCAAATCTATTTCGTATTTTCCTTTCTTACTTTATGTACCTGGCAGACAGCAAAACAATAAAAGTTAAAAAGTGTGCCTGAAAACTGCACCTGTGAGCTACAGTAAAGACAGTCAGGTTTTCTGTTTAAATCTCTATTTTAGTTTTCATTTTCAACTGTCTAAAGCAAAGTACTGGAGTAAGACATAAAACACTTTCTTTTTCTTCAGTTATCCAGCCAAAAAAAAAAAAAGCAAATTGATGTGAATGCAAGATTCTTCATTTCCTAATAGTCTAGTAAACTAGAAATAAAACAAGATAATTCATGCTCATCATGTAACAAAATATACATTTTCTGACTACTCAGAATACCTTTCAAAGTTGCTAAAATTTATTTTGGTATCAAAACTCTCAGTGCAACCTCTCACTTCATTTTAAATATTCCCTAAACTAATGTCAGACATCAAAACTACTAAAAGTATACTGAAAACGTGCAACACACTAGAATTATATTCTATCATACTTATATTTCAAGCCTACATACAAAGAAATCCAGAAAAAATGGTAACAGTGTTATTATGGACATTAGTCGTTAAAGATCTACTCAACAGTTAAGCATGAAGTCACAAAAGTAACTGCACATGTCTTTGTTAAGACTGTGCTTAATGTCTTGCTGAAATCAGGACCTGGATGCAGAATTCAGCACTCAGCCACAGAGTAGGTAATATTTTCCTTTTCCCTACGTGATTCATGATTCTCAGAAAATTATCAGAATACTTCTTGCTGTAGCTTACTTACTCTGATGAATGTGGTCAGTTCTGTGACATTGCTGTTTTGCAACCTGCAACCAGAAAACAATTAATGATGAGCTGATCATCCTTTCATCAAGTAACTTTTACAAGGACAAAGACACATCAACAAGAACAGTAATGTTTCTCAGAAAAACACATCTGTGAAGTATTTCCAGTGTACTGAAAACACTTTGTTTCCCACAGTGAGATATGAAGCCATTAAACCAAGAACAGTTTAAGCCAAATGTTATGTAATCACACCTTTTTAGTTTGCAACCAGCTGTTCAAATACACAAACCCATTTAACCCTTACTAAATTGTGAATGATATGTGCACAGTAAGTCAAAGGAATCTTTCTGTTAAAATGCAAATAGAATTCTGGCCTCCCAGAAATCAATGGGAATTTTCAATTTTGTTTATACGGAACCAGCGTTTCATTCCATTACTAATGGTCCTTAGCATGAGGATTTCAAATTCTCCTCATGCTATGAGAATTCAGAGGCATTTCCATGACAGTACAAAATCCAGACATATTTCACTGAAAATGTAAAACCAGAAGGAATTCTTGAACACTTGTTTGGATTGCTTTCTTCTCAGACTTTTTTGCCCTGGGTAGATCAAGTTTTTCTAAACACACAGTTCATACACACTGTGTAAGAAGTAGACAACAGCATAACAGATGCAACATTTGGAATACCACCATTTCTGGAAAACATTACTTGCTATAGCAGTAGGAATCTAGTATTGTTGGGTTTTCTAATATTTTTTTTTTCACTGAAGACTAGTAAAGTCAGTGAAATTTTACAGTTCAATCCTTTAAAAATATCTTCTGTAGCATTAAACATATACTCGCCATACAAAGCTTGTAGATGTTCTTTTCAGCTACAGGATAAGACAATTTTAACTGAGCAAATATGCATAACTGCCCACATATCAAAAAACGCTAGGGTGAAACGGTATTTCTGGGGTTTTTTTTCTGTTGTTGGTTTATCTGGGGCTTTTGTTTTACACTGAACACTTTTTTTAAAAAAACAAATGCGTAGAAAACTGGTCGTTTTTACTCTAGAATTTTTTCTACAGCGTCACACTGATGAGAGCATAAACCTGGCCTATCTCACAGTGGCACGTTCAAGAAGACATACTAATAAATTTACACAAACAAAATTTCAGCCATCTACATGAGCAAGAACTTATTTTACAAAGTTAGATAAGCTAAGTAACAATTTAAATCTAGGGAGGTAATTTTATCAACAACAGCCGTCATTTTTAAAATTTTATTTTATATTACAACCTGTAAACATCTGGCATTAACACCAACAATTGCTTGTTTATTCGTTATGGCCACTACTGTCCAACCACACTGCTGGCCCTGCCAGGAAAACAATATGTATTTTTCTCTCTTGTCAAAGGACAGCCAGGAACAAATTGTTCCTCATAACCGTTCATGGCAACATCATCAACCTATACAGGAAAGGAATCACATTTGTTCTCCCAAGGAGAAATCAAAACATTGCTGTTCCCCTTCTCTACCCTACTGCCATGCCTTGACAACACCAAAAAAAACCCCAATTTTCTAAGATTAGAAACAAGAGAGAAGCGATGGAAGGAGATATGACACAGTAACTACACCATTTAAAAAGTGGGAGCAAAGCATCTGAGTGAGGAAAAACTTAAGAAAGTATGTATTTTGCTACTCTCTCGACTAAAACCCTGGACTGTCCTTCAGAAAGCAGCAAACAAAGTTATTTCCTTTTCTAAGTTGGAAACATGGTATTTTCAGTATTAGCTGAAGCTCAAGCACTTGCTGCCTGTTACAATCATGCACATATGTTCTACTTCTGAGTACATCTATACCTGTGCCATTGCTAAGTTTTGGGTTTGGTATCAGTCCTGAAGGCACTGAAGAGCCCACTAAAACCTAAACCTTTGGACAAATGCTAAAGGTTCAACAGCTGAGGATAGCGAAAACAGCTCACGAAGTTCCACCTTGCCCTTTGCAAGGAATGATAACCAACTGTCTCACCGGCAGACAGAGCGTACTGCGCATCACAGCCTCCTCAGCCCCCAATGCTGTCCCAGGAGAAGAAAA